TTATCATTATTATTATTATTATTATTATTATTAAGATTGGTTTAAAGGATGTGATTGCTAGGATTCTTATCTTTTGTTGTTTCTGTCTGTCTTGCTTTTTCCCAGCACTAAATGACCATCATTGTGTCGATCGATGTGCTTATTTTTACTCAAGGATGTTGTATCCCCCTCATCCCAGGTTGGCCCTAACAGGCAGGGTTGAATCCTGCTTCTTAAGTGATGGAAATTGTATTGGTAGGGGGTGTAAAACATTACATTAATTTTTTAAAAGCTAGCTGGTGCTCTGGTGTGGTTTGCTCCTTTTCTACTATCAAACATCTGTCGTCCTGATCTCTCCTCCTTCTATTTTGTGTTTATTACTCTTATAACACCTCGAAACATTAACACTTATATGACATTGTGTTTCAAGTGCCATAAAACTCTTAGTAAAGCATGAAAAAAGCATGTTGCTTCCACATGATGTAAGTGTACTATTCCCCTCCCAGGTTCATCTACAAGAAAGACTACGAGAAGTTTAAACTGACTGTCAGCTACATCATCCTTGCCCTAGCCTTCCTCACAGCATTTGTATTCAAGTCTCGGTAAGTCATTACAGTAGTGTTGTGAAATAGCTGCTTTATACTTGTCCTCCTCTGTTTTAGCCGTAAGCTGGATTTGTACTATGTATTTCTATGAAACGTACAGTTTTATCAAATGTTGGAACACTTTAGGTTAGTGTCGGGTGTAGTGGTGAAGCACTCTGCTATGACACACAGAAGACCTGAGTTCTGGTTCCATTTAGGGATAATTTTTATCGAGTATCGTGGTCTTTCTGCCAGAACTTTGTATCCCTCTTTTCCTATTTAAAAAAATTCTGCTTTTACTTTTACAGTATAGAATATCGAGTAAGGCTTTTCTATCTTTTTATTTATAAACTGTTTTTAGCTTTTCCTGCATGAAAAATGTCCTTGTTCAATGAGAATTTTGAATGTATTTCCAGATGGTGCGATGCCACCCTCAATTTTCTCATGGTCTGGTACTATTGCACACTCACCATCAGGGAGAGCATTCTCATTGTCAATGGGTCGAGGTGAGTCCAGCTTCTTTTTCCTCTTCATGTTGGTATTCAGGTATTACTCTGTGCTTTTAAGATAACCATGTTTTGTTTGTTTTTAGTTAAAAGAGCTTTAAATGAAAGCAAATACCTCAATCTGAGTTTGTTTATGTTATGACTGTAACTATATGTTTGTTTTATGACCGTAATGATATGTGTGTAGCTGTGTTGTTACCTTTACTTGTGTATGTCTCTGGTGTAATGGTTAGGTTCTTCACTATTGAGCACAGAAGACATGAGGCTATTATTCATGGGAGGAGATCATTTATGAAGAATCCCTCTCAGACCAGGTAGACCCTGACAGGCATGGTGAAAAGAGCCTGCCTCCTGAATTGTCTTAATTATTTAGATAGGGAAGTAAAGCATTAACAATATTATCAAAAGACTTTCTGTCATGTTTTATTTATCTTGGAATGAAAGTGTCACATCTACAAGGCGTTACTCAGAAGCGACTTAACACTATCCACTATCCGCCCACGCAGCTTGCACAGCGCGCAACACTTATCCCCACGGACCAGGATACAGATGCGGTACATGCTACATCACACTGTCGCTGATCAGCCTCCTGTGGGGGAAAAGTACAGCTTCTTACGTCCCTGATCAGCATCCCGTGGGGGCAAAGGGATAATAGTTCGTTGAAAGATAATCTGGGCCACAGCTTGATGATTCCTTTATAAATTCTTGCCAAGCAGACCAAAACAACTTACTTACAGAACTTTGTTAGATGGGAAACACAGGAAAGACAAGGATCATGTAGGATTTTCTTTCTTTTAGAGCATGAGAGCAAAGAAATAAATTTTGAACCATGTTCGCTGATGTCTGTTTCCAATCTGGCACTTTATAATGGTGATGATGATTGTTTTTTCCTCACAGAATCAAAGGCTGGTGGCTGACCCATCACTTCATCTCCACAGTTTGTGCAGCGATAAGTCTGATATGGTGAGTTTTGTTCCCTCGGTCATTCTTACAAACTTACAGACTTTGTGTGTGAGTGGTTGGCAGTGCTCTGGTGTGATTTGCTTCTTCTTGACTGTGGTTTGTTGGAGAAATTTGTGTCTCAACAGTGTCCAACCAATTGGTAGCCCATGCTGCCATCGAAGATGGATGTAGCTTCAAAGATATCTTCTTCTCTCTTGTGTTTGTTACTCTCTGGAAATACCTCCTATCTTCAACACTTTTATGACCTAATTGTGTTGCAAGGGCCACAAAATGCTTACTAAAACTAAGACTTTGTGTTAGTTCTGATGCTGTCTTAATATTGGGTTGTGTGTTACCCTCAAGTTTAAAAAAAAGTAACTTTGTTCCCACATCCGGTCCGGACATTGGGGATTGCCTTGTTTGTGAGACAACATCCTGGGCCTTCGGCATATTGTGGTAGGGTGGCCAGTTCCTTTCCTCGCTGCCTTTGCTTCCCCTACTCGAAGTCAGGTACCCATTACTGCTGGGTGGGCTTGAGGGGGTGAAAAAAATCTGTGTCCGAACCGAGGCTCGAACCCGGACTTTTCTCTTCGGAGACCCTCAAGTAACACCTCTAATCTTCAGCACTTGTAACCTTGCAAGTGCCCTAAAATTCTAACAAACAAACTCAAACTAAAGTTCCTATCTTGCTTGACTGTGATGCAAATGACTCTGGTTTGACCCTTTTCAGGGCGTTCTTATGTATTCGTTAATGAAAGAGTTTCGTGGCTGTCCACCCCTTTTGCTCAGTCCTTTTGAAGATAGAAGTCACATTCAGATTTGCTTCCTCTTCATTAAACATACTGAGAGTATGAGAGCGTTAAATTCATGCCATAGCAGCAAATTATGCACTGGCTTTCTGCCCTCCTTCATGGTGGATATACTGTCTCTATTTTTACCTACGGGTATGTTTTCTATCGTCAGGGGAGGATGTTTAGGAAACTAAATGGTTTATATAGATTGTGGGTTGGGGGTGTTTGATTCCTCATCTGTAATGCCCTGAATATCATTTGTAGATAGTGATCTTTTAATAATTTTAGAACATTAGAGATCATAACTCTGCTATCACACTTTATGTTTTTTAATTTTCTTCTGATTTTGAAGGAATTTATTTCTTCCCTCTTTTTGGGGTTCTTGGTTACTCTTCCTTTGGAAGCATTCTTTGATAATAAGATTACTGGCTTCCTCTCTCTAACTCATACGTTTTTCCCTTCACTACATTAAATAGACATAATTGTGTCCATGTGCTTCTCTTCACTTAAACAGACGTAACTGACCTCTTCGTCTGGAATTTTTTATCCCTTTGTTGGGGGTTCTTTTCATTCCCACTGTTGTTTCTGTCTGTCTGTGCATTTGTTTGTCTGTCTGTCTGTCTGTCTCTCTGTCTAACTTTTCCCCTCCACAAAACAGTCATAATCATGTCAATGCACTTCTCTTTACTCTAACAAACAGACTCAACTGTCTTTTTCATGTGTATTTTTTCCCTCTTTTGCTTCCACCGAGTGCAGGCCTGACGGGTTCACGTACCAAGAGTTCCGCTTCCAGCACATCACGTTCATCATATACATCAGTAAGTCCCTCTTTTTGTTTCTTCAAGCTGGTTGTTAGTGGGTGCTATTGGAAGGTTCCACTTCTTCTCTTTCCTTCTGTTATTCCTTTCTGTCTGTCTTTAGTGGTTGGAGGATGCCGCTGGTAGGTCTTACTTGTTCTCTTTCCCTGTGTTTTCCTTTCATGTTTGTCTTGCTCTTTCCCTGCGCTCACTAAATGACTGCTATTGCGTCAGTGTTTTTCTCCGTATTCTTCAAAAGAAACCGTATGTCTGAAAGTGAGACAGTTGTCATTTTCTCTATTGCAACTTCCCTTTGGAACTGATTAGTTATTACCAGTCAGCTGCCCTTCTTGAAGTCACTTAACTTTTTCCTCTGCAAATCCATAGAACACAAGTTTTGGCTTTAAAAAGCCAACAGGTCAGATCAAAAGTTATAAAGAAATAACAAATTCCATAGATGAAGAGCAGTTGACAGAATCTTTGTTCTGAGCCAGCTGATAGAGAAAAGCAGTTGGATGTGCCTTTTTGATAAGTTATTGAAGACCAGGGTGAGTGGATGGCAGATGTGGTTTGCTCCTTCCTTCTTATCAAATATTTATCGTCCTTATCCTTCCTCCTCCTCTTGTTTGTATGCTGCTCTCTAGTAACACATCTCAATTTCTGCGCTTAATTGATCTGTTTGTGTTGCAAGTGTTGTAAAGGTGTTAACAACACTAAACTAACTCAATCTGAGACTATTTCTGTGTTGTGTCACTGTCCAGGTATGGTCTATGTGCTTCAGTACTACTACCAGAGCGGCTGCCTGTACCGTCTGCGTTCTCTGGGCCAGAGTCATGAGATGGACATCACTGTTGGTACGTAGACAACAGCTTATTCACACCACTGTATTTTTCTATACGTTTACTTACGCAGTCAATTCATCACTGTTTTTCTCTGTACACATTTATTTATACAGTTAATTCATCGCAGTATTTCTCTGTATACACTTATACAATTAGTTCACCACAGCACAGTCAAAATTGTCTGGGATGGCCACTCATTGTGGCGGAGAAAAGTTGTTGTTTGTATTAGACTGATAGACCCCTTGGACAGTGTCATTGTAATGTTTAAAGAAAAGGCGCAGAGGGATTTGGGAAACGGTCGCCGTTTGTGATTGTCTAGGACAGGTGCTGGTTAGAGCAGGTTCAACTGTATTTCCTAGCATCCATTGACTTGTAATGTTAGTTAATCACAGTATTTCACTGCACACATTCTCTTAACATCTCCAGGTATTTTTAGACTGAAAGTGGATCCTGTCGTCCATGAATATCTGAATATCAGTGTAAGAACATCGTATACAAAGGCAGTAACTTATTTGTGGGTGGGGGGTTGCTTTTTGCTCCAACTGTAATTCAGGGGTGAGGTTTTTCAGCTATTTTCTCAGAAAACGGATTTCAAATCCATAAGAACAGAGTTATTATTCTCTGCATTTATGTTTCACCCCATTTTAGTCGTGTGTATTAACCGTGCAAATGCAACTTATTTTGTTAATTTTCCATAATTTTCACAAAATGTCTTTTTCTGTCCGCAGAGGGTTTCATGTCCTGGATGTGGAAGGGCCTCTCATTCCTCCTTCCCTTCCTGTTTTTTGGCTATGTAAGTGAACTGTTCATGTTATTTCTCTCAGTTTGTTTCTGCTCGGTGAGTTGATTCTTTAACTTGTTCACTTTTGTCTGTCCGCGGTTAACTTGGGATAATAAACAAGTCACTCTGTTCTCAGATCTTTGCATGCAGGTCCAAAAATTGGATGACCAACAGAATGTGAAAGCCCCTTAGTGAAGGCCACTACAAAATAAGATTCTTTAACATGTTTTCTTTGATTCTGGTCTAAAGTGGGTATAAAAATGATAATTGATTTACGGTGGTGTCGCTGTCTCAAAATGAGCGTTTCGTAGACTAGGTTACTGTAAAAACTTTCACAAAACCCCCAAACAAACAAACAAACAAGCAAACAAACAAACACACAAACAAAAAACAAACAAGTTTCATTAGGTTATACGTTATGTTTTTGCGCTCTAAGACGTTCATAAACTTCAGGTTGGCTTTGGCAAGAAAAGTCGAATCACCCCTTATAATATGGTCGCTTTTAAGCACAAGGGGGTTAACCCGGAAAAATGCTGTTTTTGCTAAAATGGTAAAGTTTTTGGTCCCATAAAGTCTATGTCTACGTATTTAATTAATTCTCAAATTAATTCTTCTGTGGTTTTGCAAATGAGTCAGTTATGACCTTGTCTGCCGTATACGTATAAATTACTGACAATGATATGCTCAGTTAAAACAAAATTTGACAAAAAAGTTGGGTTGGCTCAGTTGTGCAGATATGTAAAAAACACTTTTGCAGAAAATTTGGGAGCGAAATGGGCCATCCCATCCAAAATAAGGCAGACCTTTTTATCTGGACTAATACTGCATTGAAATATATACAAACGGTCTATCCCCTGTACAGTGGACTAACCCACCAAGCTTGTCAACTCTTTATCATTGGGCAAAGTGGTCTTGCCTAGCCATGTGAACATTACACTGTAAGCTTTTTTTACCAAGCAGATTGGTACTATTACGTGGAACAGTATTCAAGTGAAAACTGATACAGTACAGAAAAAAAGAATTGATGAAAAAACTTACCTGATATGAGAATATCGCAGTCTTTGGGATCATTTTCAACTGCGACATGCAGTGAACTCTTCTGTTGTCGACCATTTTTTGGGTTAGCCCATTTTTTAAATTTCAAAAGTCTGCTGTTTCTCTAAAAGACAAGGAGAGTTTTCTCAGCAACTAAGCAAATATACACACCAATGAGACCAAATTCCTCCTATAGGTAGGGCAATGCCCACTTTTGGTGTAGGTCAAGATTTCTGGAAACCCCCGAAATCTGGGTTAGTCCGCTTGTCCTTAAAAGTGACCATATGTACTAATTGTGTTGCAAGTGTCTAAAAACTCTTACTAAAACTGAAAGGAAAGAAGTATGCACAGGTCAGTGTGGTCTATTGTCGGGTTTTTTATTTTAGAGGTGATGAGTTATGCTCCAGGTCGCTACTCAGTGACCTCCCCTCTCCCAGCCTTCTTGACATCACTTGAGATTTTTGTGTGCACCAAAGGTCACTGACCACTTGACGACTGTGGCTCCCATTGTATTCTGTGTTTTTCTCCAGTGGACTCAACCGGTGTTTGTGGTGTAGCGGTTAGGCCCTTTGCTGTCGCACACAAACAGCCTGAGTTCAATTTCCGAGTAGGGAGAAATTTTTATCAAGCATCTCAGTCTTTCTGCTGGGATGTTGTATCTGTCTTAGTCTGGGTTGGCCCTCTCAAGCAGAATCAGAAGCCTTCCTCCTTTAAAGATCTAAATTGTATCGATAGAGACGTAAAAACACGTACATTATTTTTTTTCCAAATTTCAATTTAGTAAACCTGACATCTCTGTCAAATTAGGGCAATCTGCAGCCCATGTTTATACCAAAGACTTGTGAGTAGGAAGTGCATAAATGAGCTTGGTACAAGAGCAGCAATCACCGAGGGCATAAAATTGTATGAGTCTTCACAAATTAGAGATGCTGGAGTCGGGAGAGAAGCCCATTAGCTGTGTACGTACAAGTGGAAATGATGCTTTTAAATGTTCAAAATGCGGGCAAACTTTTTTCCGCCAGAGTTCTTCATTGGCTATAGCAAATCATCTTAATCCTTGTTTCTGTTATTTTTCTTTAAAAAATATTCCTCTCTGCAGATGCGTTGGTCATCATCAGACTTTGGTGGGCAAACTATTTTTCTTATAACAGGAGTATTACTTGTAGAACTGTTGTTGAATTCAAACCAACAGACCAACATCTGTAATATAACCCTTGAGCTTTTCCCCCTGCTTGCAAAAGACATGAGTTCGATTCCCTCATGAAGAAAGAATATTTTATCAATGATAATAATGATAATAAATAGCATTTGTATAGCACATATAAAGAACCTTGGTATTTCTTCTCAGAAGTACTCCTAAATAAACTTAACTGGCGGGTTTGGAGCAGCCTTTCTGCTAAATGATCAAATCAGTGTTGATAGTGATGTAAAACATTTAAACTTTTTACATACTCTTTATCGATAATAATCTTTATCGATCATACAAGTCATTGCTTTTTTTTTAACCAACCCCCGACAGATATCTTTCCAGGGATGTAAAGTTTCTAGCACTATATACAACATGTGCGTGAACTTTGCAAACATTACAAAATATTTTTAAGGTGGGTCACTTCGATTTCATCTGCGCCGAAATTGTTGTCGATCTTCAATTTTAGAGCTGATTTTCTGATTTTTTAAAATGCAGATTGTTTCCAGTATTGTGTCATCTATGGCATCAATTTTCCTCCACAGTTTTTCCAGCTGTACAACGCATACGTGCTGATGCAGCTCGCTTTCCACCCACAGTGCATGGAATGGCAGGTCAGTCAGTCAGTCAGTCTGTTGGCGCATGGTGGTGGTCAGTTTGTGACGGTGTATTAGACTTGTCAAGTACTTCAATAAAACAGGAACCCTCCTTTTTTTTACCCTTGTCGAAGAACTTCACATGAAATCGCAATTATTTTTTTTTAACTCCTTTTTTCCATCAGATCGAAAATGACTGAGTCTATGTTAGGTAACCTGATAATACTCAAGTTTATTTGCAATATTTGTGCGATTTATCGTAAATTATGTGAAAATACATTTTTATTCGCTTGTATTTGTCGTACACATTTATTTACCACCATCGGTTGGTTATGCAACCCTAACCTGCTGAGTCATGAAGACTTTGGTTTTTGTTCCCCAAACTCCCAATTTTCAGGGAGGAATCTGAGGAAAACTCTTATTTTTGCTCATGGAGTGGTTGGCTTGTCGGGTGTTTACAGCTGTGTGTTTATGGTGTGGCCGTAACGATATTTGTGCGTTATGCTATGACGGTAACAATTGTGTTTTTGTTTGTGTTATGGTCAGACCGAAGGGCTAGAACCCAAATGGCCGCTGGATCAGAAAAGTAAAGTAAAACTAAAGTAAAGTAAAACTAAAGTAAAGTAAAACTAAAGTAAAGTTTGTGTTATGGCTGACCATGTGTGTGTGTGTGTGAGTGTGTCTATTTATGTTATAGCTGCAATGTTGATGTGTGTGTGTGTGTTTGTTTTACGACAGTAATGATATGTAACTGTTTGTGGTATGAATATGACAAAGTGTTTGTGTGAGTGTGTGTGTGTGTATGAGTGTGTTTGTGTTATGATATAGCGACATCGTTGACGTGTGTGTGTATTTATTTTATGACTCTTACTGTGTTTGTGTTATGACCGTAAATTGTGTATGTTTCTGTCACACCATGAGGATATATGCGTATGTTTCTTGTGTTTCAGGTGGCCGTTCTGTGCATCATCCACTTTGTGCTGTTCGTCGGCAATGTGTCCACCACCAGCATGGTGGTCGTCAACAAGGTGAAGGCCGAGGGCTTCCAGTTCCGCTACCTGCGCAAGAAGTACAACTTTGTGGTGAACAACTTCCTGAGCCAAGGTCATGGCCACGCGGAGTAGATGTCTGGTTCCTGGATGTAGGGGGGATATTCTCAACTGAGGAGGAGGAGGCGGACATTGTCATCGTTGTTGTGGGGGGTTTGATGTCAAGGTTCTGTAGGAGAGGTCCGAGGTGATCACTGTGCCATTTTGTTTCTCTGGACTCGAGTTTCTCTGAAAGGACTTGAGTGTTTCAGAGAGGACTTGAGTTTCTCGGGAAAGACTTGAGTTTCTTAGAATGTTGAACGAGGGGATAATGTGGATGTTGAGGAGGTACATTAGTTTGACTGTGCTGGTTTACCTTTTGGGAAAGAGCTGGAGGAGGTCTTGTTTGATTCTGAAATGAGGTATTTAGAAGACTGAGGTTTGTTTGAACCAATTGACTCAGATTCTGAGATGAGGTATTTAGAAGACTGAGGTTTGTTTGAACCAATTGACTCAGATTCTGAGATGAGGTATTTAGAAGACTGAGGTTTGTTTGAACCAATTGACTCAGATTCTGAGATGAAGTATTAAGAAGACTGAGGTTTGTTTGAACCAACTGACTCAGATTTTGAGATGAATTATTGCGGAGATTCAATTTTCTTTGCACTAATTGGCTCGGAATTTCTGATTTCTACCTCGGATGATAAGCAAAAATTCTGTGACTCTGAATTATGTCATCAGTTCCTTTGGGGGCAAAGTGGCAAAGTCCAATTGTAGACAAATGTTTTCTGAAACATTTCTTAAAGAAAACCTGGTTCTCAAATTCCATTAAGTTCTTCGCAGCCCATTAAATGTGTTTGCTCCCATCGCCTGAGGTGAAGATGTGAAGATACACCGGTGTGTGTTAAGGCAAGCTCCGCCTCTGGCTCAGTGAAAAAAAAGTAAAGAAACAGGATTTGGAAATTGGTTTATCTTTCTCGGTGCTCCAGTAGGGAAGGCTTGACATGTACTTCTAATGAGACTGGATCTTGGCCATGTTGGGATTTAAATTGTGAGAATGGTGCTCTATTTATTGTATTTTTGTGGGCAAGAAGACGCGTTCAATTTGTATGGTCCTGAAATCTGAGAATACTAGATTGTAGTTATGTGTGAGGTGCATTGGATCTCGAAGTATAAGAGAGTGAGTGTGTAGTAGATGGTCAAGTGTTTTTCTAGATGGTGGTAAGCCGGTTTTGCAAAAGTGAAGTTATCTGGAATTCCTATGCCTATGTCTAGGTGTCTGAACAGGAAGAACAGAAGTTTTGTTTTAGCGCAGCTTGTGGTGAGGTGGATTTTTAAGGCCTAAGATGTTATGGTTGAATTTGTAAGAGGTAGTGATTGAATTTGTTAGACGTTATGGTTGAATATGTCAGACGTAATGGTTGAATTTGTAAGATGTAAAGGTTGAATTTGTACAATGTAACATTTGAATTTGTCAGACGTAAAGGTTGAATTTGTAAGACGTAATGTAAGCATTAATGGTTGAATTTGTAAGACGTAATGTAAGCATTAATGGTTGAATTTGTAAGATGTAACTGTTGAATTTAAGGGGGGGAACAAAAGCAAGGCCTTGTGAGGGAATAGAATGAGACCCTGAGTTACAAAGGGATACCTGTCGGGTATGACTTTCAGAGAGATTTGCTCTTCTCTTTCTGTTCAAGAGATTGTTGTACATAGTCATCAACATATATATATTAACCATGCCTGGCTGCAACCATTGTTTGTTATAAGTTGAGGCTTTGTGAGATATACATGCGTGTGGTAGGCTGAAAGTAGTAAAAGTAGATTTAGGTGGATCCTGAGAAGAAGAGGGGAGCAGCTTAAAACATGTACCGTCTGCGATGATCCCAACTTTGTAGACCAATTAACAAATATAATTCTACAGTGAAACTGGCTAATTTATCATTTTGCTCAGTCTAGCAGTTAAGAACTTAAGGGAACTTTCTGTCTTTCCAGTTTTTGTTTTTATTTTTTTGGAAACGTTCTTGCTAAATTAGGCGTTAAAGGTTACAATGCGACTAACTTAACTCACTTGCGACTGGGCCCTTTCACCAGTCACAAGCGTTGAAGACTGGCATTTTGGGAGGTATTTCAATAAATCACCACAACTCTCAGAATTACCCTATTGTAATCATTTTTTGACACAGTAAAGTAACATTCAAGCTTAATCTAATACAAAAACCTAACGTTGTCTAAGTCTAATACTTTAATTTGTATGATTTTTTAAAAATTGGCATGAATTTGATTTTCGAAAAATTTCCAGAGACGTGACAAGTAGAATGAAATTCACTGCAACAACAAAAATAAAAGTTCAAAGTGTTCTGGTTTGATTTGTATATATGTGCAAGTGTTTGGTGAAAATATAAAAGCTGGTCTGTGCATTGATTCAGACCCATACACTGAATTACATGAGACAGATGTACGGCACGACGTTGTGATTTCGTTGCGCGAAAAACAACACCGGTACTAGTGCTAGATCTAGCCCTAGAACTACGACTCAGGCCGTGTTCGGGTACATATCCAGGATCCTAACTATTAGACACATCATATTCTGAGACACTAGAACTAGTAAAACACACAGAAGTTAAGAAAACAGCAAAATTATGTGATTCTTGTTCATTCGACTTCTTCGACCGTTACTACGACGCGACTGTCGGATTACTATGAGCTGTATAGAAAAAAACAACGCGCGAGTTCCGGTCTGTTCAACCCCAGTTGGGGTCACTGTCCTTCACCTTCAATAACTTAAAAACTACCGGCCCCAGAGATACGAAACGAAGTCTAAGTAGCTCAGGCTTGGCCAAACAAGGGTACGATCTCGCGATCCGTGCATGATTTGTAGAGCGAAAAAAAATTCCAAAGTTGGTCACGCAGGGCTTGTGAGACCCGTCGCGAGCGTCATGGCGGGGGTCACGCAACTGTTGTGTGACCCGTCTGAAGTGAGTTAAAAGTAGTATTTTTGCCCAAAAAATGTTCAAACTTGTACAATTCCGAACATGCTCAAGACATATTTATAAAAGAATTAAGAGCACAGCGCTTAACCTTTTCATCATCCAACCTTTGTTATTTCCTGAGAATGAAAATGTGGCTACTTGGACTTAATGAATCTGTCTTCAGCTTTGCATGATAGATGTGTTGTCTGTGTGTATGCTTGTCTTTGTATATGTATGTATGTTTGTTTGTATTTGTATGTTTGTGTGTATATGTATGAATGTGTGTATACGCTGCCTTGTAATGGTGCTATTAGTTGCTTGTGATTTGGAGATGCCGAGTGTCTGGATATTCTGCAGTTTCCAAAAGTTTAAAATGTTCCACTTTTTTGCTCACACAACAATTTTTGTATTTTTATCAACATTTCCTTCTGCTTATGCTCTTTGAAGTTAAAAAATCCTTACGCATTTTCGAGACGTTCTGACACTTAAAACCAAATTTTACTGTGTTTCAATATTACCAGGCTTGTGAACTGTCTTGAATTTCCCAGGACTATCCCTGATTGAGCAACGGAGAATTTGAGGGCCTTGATACACACAATACTCCAAAACCTATCCCACTTGATGTAATTTTGATTGTTGTTAGGTTTTCTGATGTTATAACGGTGGGTGTCCCTCATTTGGTTTTGAAAATGTTGGCAATCCCGAATCAGAGTCCGTTCCTGTGTTTCTGATGATGGTGTTATCACCATCACACAGTGAACTGTGTCCAAAATCTTTAATGGTTTTATAATATAATACAACAGTTCCCAACTAACAACCATTCCAATGACAATGAGAAGGAAGTTGGCAGTACAAATTTTCTATGAAGCTTCCTTCGCTCCTTGAGTCTCTGACTTACAGTACATTTCAGTTAAATGTTTGGAAGACGTAGGAGAGTTTGTGCACAAGTGACAATTTTCCTACCTTAAGGTCATAACGTTCTCGTGCTCATGTGTGACACATTTGTTAAAAATGTTGTCAGTGTCTCCCTTACATAACTGAGCATGTTCTTGATGGTGTTCAATGATGTGACTTTTTGTGTAAGGTCACACAGAGAAATACAGTGGAGTCGGCTTAAGCCAAACCTGGTTCATCAGAAAACAGCAGTGAACCAAAAGAAAAGAAAATCCTTGATTGTTTGTACAGGTGATTGTCTTGGACAAGTGGCTGTAAGATCAGATTCAGTTGTTTTTATTTCATTGTTTTATAGACTGTTCAGTTTTACAGTGAAATTTGTAATTGAAATTGTTTCATCAACGATTTTGTCTTGTTGGAGGTTTTTTTCTTTCATGGTTAGGACGGTTCATGGTGGTTCTTGCTTCTTGACTTCTTTTCACTGGTTGTTACTCAATTCATTCTGAAAAAGTCGGGGAGTTATCATATAGGTGTCAGTTGAGTATTGTCTGCATTTCAACCGCTCAGTGTAATACTCCATCATACTTCACTTTTCAAAATGGCTTATAGCGGAGTTTAGCACTAAGTAGTTACTCCCCCCCCCCCCCCCCCCAATATCACAATGGCAGATGTGCTAAGAATATCGAAGTCGTTGGTTGTGACATGATACTGCTTGACTGTTGAGATTAGTAATGTACAGTTGCTAACAGGTACTAAGGTACTAATGTGCTATGTGTACAGACAGAAAACAAATTTAACCTTTGCCTTTCGTTTTTGGTATTATATATATATATATATATATATTTGTTGGCTGTTTAGAAAAATGTCCAGTTATTTGCTTCAACATTATTGTTTGAACATTTTGTGGGTTATCTTCAACAGACTCTGTGTACAAAGCCGTATTGTTGTACGTGGTAAATAAGTATAGAGATACAGTGGAAATTGTCCAGGACGGAGAACAGTGGTTGGGGGGGGACCTGTTTGTGCAGGCGGACGTATTAGAGAGTGTCGGTACAATGTTAAAAAACACAAAGAGAGAAAAAATAGAAATGGTTGTTTGGGCTGGTGATTATGGTGGTCAGGTCACCGTTTTGGCAGATTTGACTGTGTTTAACTTCAGGGGATGGACAATGTTGTAGATATAATAATTGTGTTCAGTAAACAACCGTGTCTGTGAGTGGGGGTTTTTTGTTGATTTTTTTGTTAGCATGTAGAGAAGTAATAGACTAACTCCACATAAATGCTATGTGTGTGTGGACAGTACTTGTATTGATGTTACAATCATTGGGGAGGTGATGAACGTACTGTGTATATATATAAAGAGAGAGAGAAAAAAAACATAGACATATTGTCCGCAAAATGTTTATATGTGCAGAGCCCAAATTAAGAAATTTTCAGTTTCTTACACTGTGGAGTTGCATATGCTCCAAAAATATTTTGTGGAAATTCAAACTCTAAATGTGGAAAAAAAAGCAGAATAGAATCATAATTTTGGCATAATTCTTATAAGAATGACATTTTTTTCTCTTTCTTGAAAAAATCTGCATTCTGTGCTAAAAGTAAAGTCCTCGGCTGGAAAAGTGAAGAAGAAGTAGGAGATGCTGGGGACACAGTTGTCTCCCATAGTGCTTGTTGTAACCCGTGTACAGCAGCACTCCTTCCAACTGTTGTATCAAAAGTAGAATTAGAATTAAAGACGTTCCCATTTCTTTTCTAGCGGGGGTCAAGTGCTTCTTCGTGAACTCGCAAATGCACACTGTATTATTAGCTTACTAATATGTGAAGACACTGTATTATCTTACTAATACGCGAAGACCGTAGGCCTGTACTGTATATTGTTTCACTGGTTTTTTAATGTTTTTAATACGGCTGGATTTTTTTGCCAGGCTCTTATACTTAATTTGTCCCTCAAAACCCGTCAGATGAGTAATTGTTTAGTTTACCTTCATCATTGCTGTTGTTCAGTCGATATATTTATCTACTATTCCTTGTTTTTGTAGTTGGTGGACTTTATTTGGTCCTTTGTTGACTCCTCACGGTCTTTGATTTGTGAAAAGACTAGATAGGTCACATTGTATTTTTGGTATTAAGTACACAACAGCTTGAAGTAGGTTGTAATGTGTGCATGATTTGAATACTTCTCAATAAGGCATCATCAGGTTTCTTACAAATACAGTTAAACCTGTCCAAGACCACCACCCATTGTCGAAAAGAAGAAGTGGTCATCTTAGACAAGTTGTCCTCTTAGACAAGTTGTCCTCTTAGAAAAGTTGTCCTCTTAGACAAGTTGTCTTCTTCGACAGCGTCATTATAATACCCACAAGAAAAATAAACCCAAAGGGGAAGGGGGAAATGGTCTTTTGTACGGGTGATTGTCGTGGAAAGTTGGCTGTAAGAGCAGGTTTGCCTGTGTTGATGGAGACTACCACATGATGTTACAGCTATTTAGATGTTTTCTTGTCTCGTGACAGGTTGAGAAGTTACTGAAATGTTTTACTTCAGTAGTTTTATTTGTTCGCCTTTGGGACACACCACACTGGAATGATGTGTGAAATTAAACCAGTATGACTCCGGCCTGTCTTGAAATTTCCAGAAGTTTCTGGTATTTCATGAATTATGGCATGTCTTTTTAGTAGAGTAACTTGATGTAAGTTGGTCTGTTTGGGTACAGACTGCAGGTGGTTGGCGGGTGCTCTGGCGTGGTTTACTCCCTCTAGACTATCAAACATCTATCGTCCTTAACTCCCCTCCTTCTTTTTTGTGTTTGTTGCTCTCTTATAACACCTGTAAATCTTCAGCACTTATATATGACCTTTTTTGTGTCAAGTGCCGTAAAACTCCGACTAACACTAAAGGGTACAGACTGGCTGAATTTTTCTTAGTCTTTCATGAAGTATTATATATCCTCTCGGAACAGTGTTCAGTGGGATTTTTATGTCGCACTATGTGTAGTTTGACTGGGCATTAAAATATATATTTGTTTTGTAGTAACAAAAATGCTTTCTCACAGATTGTTATC